GTTAGTGCAATAAGGTGGATAAGTGCCATTTCACAAAATCTGCCAAAAATAGTATTTTTACATATTTTTAGACCAGGGCCCTGTTTCTCGAAATCTTAACTAAAGATAAAATCCAAATTTTAGTAGATACTTCGATTTTGATTGGCTAAGCACTAAAATCAAATTACTAAAATTTGGATTTTATCTTAGTTAAAATTTCGTGAAATAGTCCCCAGAACACTAAAATTGACATATACTGTGATTCGAGGAACATGTTGATAAAAAATCTGCTAAAATTGGATTTATTTGAAAAGATCAAATGATTTCATTTTTAAAACAACGGCACTAATTGTCTACCTTATTGCACTAACATCCTCGATTTACATGGGGGAAGTTGGATGGCCGAATGGTTATTGCGTGCGCTCTATATCATAAGGTCTGTCATTGAGTCAACTGGTGGGGTTTCGATTTGATTCCCCGGTTGTACGTGACAAGGAGTAGGGCGGCTGTCCAACCTCGTGGGATTTCTCCGGGTCCTCCGCTTTTTTCCCACTGCTAAAGACCCCTACGCGCAAGCGAATTATTGAAATAAAATTGAACCATATGTTATTCCCAAAATAACCTAGTTTGTGTCGAGTGGGCGTTAAACCCCATTTCTCTCTCTCTCTCTCTGCATGTCTGCCTATACCCCCCCCCCTCTCTCTCTCTCTCTCTCTCCCAATTTACCTAAAGAATGCTGTATACCCTAAAAAACACTAGCAACACTGTTAAAATATATAGTGTTCAAACTAACATTGTTGTTGTAATTAGTACGTTTAAAAATTCTCATATTTTGCATCCAGTTAAATAAAGAATTTAACTTGTGACTAATAACACTGTGGGGGCCACGGTGGCTTAGTGAATAAGCCATTGACTCGCTAACCTGGAGGTCCCGTGTTCGATCCCTGTGTTCACCGACACAGCTCATCGGAATTTTCCGGCATGGTTCCCTCTTGTCAGTGGTGCAGGACAGAGGGCCTACCTAACAAGGGACAACGTATAGTCGTTCGATTGGAACGAAAAACCGAGATCCCGTGTACACAATGGCGTGCACGTAAAAGATCCCTTGGCAGTTAGAATTGGATATAAGCGTAGGCCGAGAAAATTTTCCCTTATAGCACACTGTATGGCGTACGCCTGTCTTCATTAGCCCAATCGGAGCAGAGCAGTAGGACGTTAAACCCCATTTCATTTCAGTAAGACTGTGTTAATATCGTATTTCAAAACCACTCTAGGCTGTTGTAATACGTGACAAATACAAGCGTAGTATGGACAAGGAACCGACCATGACGCCATCGCAGCATCCTGAAACTTAGACGCCAGGTTTACTGTCGATGGCACTAGAATTGCTTGAGCCGAGATCATCACAGTATCCTGAAATTGCGACGTCATATTGAAAATCAAACCGTCAATCGATGCGCAATTGACCAAGGAGCAGATATGCCAGGTTTCATGTCGATCGTGCAATGGTCAGCAATATGAGTACCGCTAAGGGTTCAGTTCCTGGTCCAAAAATCAATCAACACCGGGATCGAGTCCTGGTTAGAAACTTTGAAAGTAGTCGTTGCCCTCGTGGATTTTCTCGGGGTCCTCCGGTTTCCTACAACAGACTATATTATGTTAGTAACTTTGAAAGGAATCGTTGCCCTATTTTATGTTCTGTCTACACCGCCTGTTATAGTAAACCATTCCAGTATTATAGGAAGCTGACCAGATACGATAGAACGAGTTTTCCAATACTACCCATTGCTAACACAATATTACCAAATACTACCACATTCTAACTCCTTTTTGTCAAAAAGTGGCAGAATACTTCAAATGTATAACAAAAATTGATTTCATTTGCGGAATTATCAAAAAGCTAAATTGATTTAATTCGCGGAATTTGCAAAAATTGTACGCTAAAGTCGAATGTTTACTTATAGAAGAGGATATTATCGGAAGCTGACCAGATATACGGTCAGTAGACCAGATGATGGTAGAAGATAATGACCAGCACGTGTTAAATATGTCACGTGGTTAACATTCTCTATCTGTCAAACTCAGCCTAATTATTCTACACATAAACCATTCCACATTCCATCACATCCTGATTCATTGTCTGAGGTGTACCCGGTGTTAATGCGGACTCTCGAACCAAGGTTTTTTTTTCTGATGTTCTCGTTGTATTATTGCCACACCGTAAAAATTAAAAGTACATTAACTGTCCAGAAATATATCACAGAACAAATAATAGGCCCACCTCGTACAGGAGACGGGTTGTTCAGGAGGGTTTGTATATCCGGTGTTTTCGGAGTTTAGCTTTCGGGGCATTTCAAACCCGCAGTTAGAGGTATTGTCTGGGGCCTACAAGAAACCTGTAGAGGTGTTTCAAAATGTAGGCCCATCTTTAGACACATATGCATACGCCTAAAAGAAACCATGGCAGTTGAAATTCGAATCGTAAGGATGACTTTCGATCAAGGGCGGACATAGCATAAAGCAGTGGATACATTAGCCGAATCGTTCGGTCGAATCAATAGGGTGTTGCACTTGGGGCTCTAGCTGACCGGTCACCCCTGGCGTGCGTATGTGGCTTCGAGATAGGGGCGCCTTCTCAACCTCGTGAGTGTACTCCGGGTACTCCGGTTTCCCCCCACAGGAACGACTCCTACGCGGGCGCTAATATAATAACAATAAGACAACGTGTTTGCGATATCACCCTCGGTGGAAGCGGACGTTAAACACCACGAACAACAACAGATACCCCGGGGTTATAATTGATTTGAAACACTTCTCTACTAATCTTCTATAAACAACACGCGATAAGCTTCTATATAGATCATAGATTAGACCACAGGTAAAATAAACCCGAGATTAGGGCGGATTACCATAAAGTGTTGACTTTACTTCGGTTGGATGCTCTAATGGTTTAACGAATGCGCGCTAGATCATGAGGTCTGTCATTGAGTCAGGTGGCGTGGTTTCGATTCCCCGCTTGTACATGACCGGGAGTAGGTTCGCCCACCCAATCTGGGTTTTCTCGGTGTTTTCCGGTTTCCTCCAACAGCTAAAGAATCATATGTTGGTACCGAAATGACCTAGTTGGACCCCATCTATATCTCTCTCTCTCTCTCTCTCTCAAATATTATCAAAATTGTGGATAAAATAAACACGCTACCTTCAGATATAACATCACTATTTTAATACACAACCAGCTCTTTGAACATAAACAACATAGACTCGTTCTTATTTGTATCAAAAACGACACAATCTTCTTTAGGTAAACTCAGAATTCTACCCTGTCATCACTATTAACACAATCGTCTTCAGATATACCCCACCAATAGGATGCTACCCTGCAATCACTATAAACACAATCTTTATCAGATAAACTACACCAATAGAATTAGAACAATCTTCATCAATTAGCTTATCATCTAGTGTTTGTAGATCTTATAGATTATTATAGAAAGCATTTAAACAATGACGACTGGAGAGCTGATCGAGAGGTCATCAAATACGTTATCGGAATGCAGTCACAGACGCGGTTATTGTCTCCAATATGAGATACTGCACAGATTTGTGTTCTTGAAATCGCGTTATCACTGTTTTTAAATACACAACAGTTTTGAACAAAAGGACCCAGTATTGCGGCTTAGAATACTACTTGTGATCATCTATGAGATAGCTCCTTCATAATATTATAAGAACAATCAATTTGGAATCGCGGTGACTGAGTGAGTAAAACTAGTTTGCTTGCTAACCCGGAGGTGCCGTGTTCGATCCCGGTGTTATCCGTAAAAGTTTATCGGGATTTTCCAATGGAGGACGGAGGACCTGACAAGGGACGACATATACTTGTTCAGATGGGACGAAAAACCGAGGTCCCGTGTACACATTGGAGTGCACGTAAAAGAACCCTTGACGATTAGAATTCGAAATAAGAGATGGCAGTATAGTGTACCCCATTCATTTCTTTCACCAATTAGCTATCTCAGTATTCACAGACGCTTGTAACACGGAAAGTCTCAGCTGAGGCTCAGCAGGGCTGTGTGGAGGACTGTACTATAAATAATAAACCTAAAACAACCCTCAAATTAATGTATTTTTAAATTCCACCCATATTTTGAAGTAAAACAATACATTTGTTAAATAATGAATTGGAAGTCACCAAAATCATAATGAAATATATGAAATGAAATTGGGTTTAATGTCCTACTGTTTTGCTCCAACTGGCGTAATTAAGACGGGCATACGCCATACAGTGGGCTAAAAGATCCCTTGGCAGTTGGAATTCGATATGAGACTAGGTCGTAGCTCCACTGCCCGGGCAAAAGTTCTCTAATAGTACACTGTATGGTGTATGCCCGTCTTTATTATCCCAGTCGGAGCAGAACAGTAGGACGTTAAAACCCATTTCATTTCATTTCGTTTTCAATATATAAATACATGCAGTCCGTATCGAACAAAAACAAAGTTTTGTTTCTTCAAATTGCAGATGTTTTTGCAGGAAAACAAGACATCTATTGGTAATTCTGCCTCCCGGTATAATACAGCGACTACTGTTTTAAATATGTCAATAATTCCTACTGTATATACTAGGTCTTTGTTTTACTGTGGTATTTAGACTGTGGTATATAGACGAATTTACCATGTGTTATAGGGTAGAGTATATATACATCGTCTGACTTCAGTAATTAATATTCACGCCACTGATGAAATCGGAGAAGCTCGGGAAAATCTTTTGAAGAGTTAAGGTAGCGTTTAAAATAATTCTTACCTTTTCCTTTGTTTGATCTTCTGAATTAGTAAAATATATGACGGACAATCTTTAGTTTATTAGTTTGACAGAACTATCGTTTTTCAAAAGAAAAAATATTATCTTGACCAAAGTCGAAAAAAACCCAACTAAAATATGTCGATCTAAATGACCGATGCGACCTTTAATGTATAATTCAGCAAAATCTCGTTTCTCCCAGCATGCATAGCGGTAGCTCTGTCTTGCCTTGAGTGATGGCGGTGTGGGATAAGTCCGGGGAACTTGGTGGAACTTTTTCTTATGGAATTTTTACAAGGAAAATGATATCGTTTGTGCTTTTTACGTACTTGGGACTTTTATCCCATTCTGTGTCAGCCCAGGAGGACCAATTTAGGGGACGTAGCAGTTGTTATGACGCTTATGGTCGGCCGCAAAGGTGTATGCCTGAGTTTGTTAATGCTGCCTATGATGTGAGTGTAGAGTCAACTAATACTTGTGGCTTGGACAAAACGGAGGAATATTGCTTACAGACCGGAGTCACTGGTGCCACCAAGTCCTGCAACAATTATTGTGATTCCCGTCGCCCAGGATACAATCACCCCCCGGAATTTATGTCCGATTTTAATAATAATTACAACTGGACCTGGTGGCAATCGCAGACGATGTTGGAAGGCACCCAATATCCCAATCAAGTTAATCTCACTATACATCTTAGTAAGTATATTTTATTCATTTAGTTATTCTTTCTATCTCTCCAAGGATCTTCATTTCTTCCGACTTCCATACATTCTTTTCACTCATTCAAAACACGCTTTTACATTTACACAGAACTGTGTATTATACACCAATAGACCACAGTTGAAAACCCATGCTTAGTGGACAGTATTTCATAGTCGGTGATTGGCATGTTGTCATAACGTTATACTTTAACTGGTGTATATTACATGATATTCCCGGCTCATTGTTGGGACTTGAGATTAATATTATGTATATTATATAGTTCAAAAACTGTGAATTACACTGGACCCAAGTGTGTATTGTATGATATTTCTACATATACGTCATATATTAATGTAAATTCCATGGTTCCAGATATATATTACAAGATATACCCTGACAACATTCAAACTGTTTTCTTCAAATAACTATGAAATATACAAACCGAAGTGTGTATTATATGATACCCTCCCCCACCTTATTTAATTATAAACATCATATATTGCATAGTCATGTTACAGTTAACAACATTGGCCACCCGTGTATAATGCATTATAATCCCTGTTAATGTTCAAATCTAAGTGTGCATTACATTTAATGTATGATATTTCTACTTACATGTATGTGTATATATTGCACTTTTAAATTTTATGTCAACTCCAGGGTTCTTGGTGTAGAGTACATGAAATTCCCTGGTAATTTTCAACAGGTCTAATAATGAAATCTATGACAAACACAGCCAAAGTGTGTATTTATGTAATTGAGTGACAACTCCATTATACTTGATGTATATTGCATGATATTCCCTGGTAATATTCAACAGGTCTTAGAATAAAAAATGTGAAATATACAGTCAAAAGTGTGTATTATTTATGCATTGTGCAAAAACTGTGAAATACACAGTCCCTGGTGTATTTGACATTATATTCCCTGGTGTATATTACATGATATTCCCTGGTAATATACAACCTTTGATGTGCTAAAGTAGCCTGACTTGGTGTATATTACTTGTAGTATACAACCTTTGTATGTATAATTAAGTGTGGAATACATGTAGAGCCAGTCAGATGTATTTTCAGGATATAACATCTGGGGTTTATAAAAAAAAAAGTGTGAAATAACATTGTCTGTATGTATTGACTGCCACAGTTCCTTGATGAAAATTAGAGAAAAGTGATATATTAACACTGGTACATCCCCGGATAGACTGAAACAGTCAAAAACTGGTGTTACTTTGAGCGCCTCAAACTACAGGAGATATATTAGATAACAAACCTTAATCTCTCAACCCTCCGTGTTTCGAGATAAGAGATGATGCCATTACTTTCAATGTAGCACATGCGGGAGCGATTCACACCCGGCATTTGTAAACAAAATTGACAATATTTTTAATCAAAACAACGATTGGTTATTGTTATTTATAATATTTCTGCCACACCCAACTACAATTAAGCATATACATGTAATACTACCTGAAACCGGTACAAATCCCCTCATTTTAAATCGAAGCGACAGTAGATTGCTTTTTCCGACATTTTAAATTTACGTCTGTAACACATAAAGGCGGGGCCAATCAAAGTACCCATCTGATCAGAGTTACGCAGTACCTATTAATACGGCGTAATTATGAACGTCCGAATCAATTTTGATAAAAACAACGCTTGATTTACTTTATTGTCAATATTTGCTGATAAATGAATGTTGTTTCAGTAGATTGGACTGTGTATGTGTAATAAGTACTAATAGTATAAAATTAACTTATTTTTAAGATGGTACATACACTAATAAAGAAATTGAGTTTGCCACTTGGAACTAAAGACATCTAATCGTAGCTAAAAACAAGCACATCAGTATATCTCGGCGTTTTTACTAGTTACGTTCTCGTAGCTAGAGATATATGTGAATAGCTTTCCGTATTATAGAACCATGTTGTTGCAGCAACAAAAGCAAAACTATATATTAAAATTAATCTGGCAGTCAACACGAATAGATCACATTTAACCCTTGCTGTCTGTGTGTGTATTTCTCCATGTTCATAGAAATTATGTAATCAACCCTTTAGCATTTGATACATATATAATATTGACTACCCCTGTTCCATAAAGATACATTAGTTAAGAGTTTAATAAAAATAGATGATCAAAAAAGAAAATATTGAAAATTTCATTCGAAATTACTTCATTCTCAGCCAAGTTATCATTGTTTGTAGTTTTGACAAAATGTGATCAGTCACAGTGGTAATCAGGGCACTGGTATAATCGGGACTTGGCCTCGCTTTCCCATTTTTAAATTGAATTTTTAAATGGCAAACCGTTTTAATCTAGTTACATCTTGAATATCCGATGCCATCGGGAGTTGATTATGGCCTTGTTTTGTTAATAAATGTCTAATTAATAGTTTATATAACATTTAAGACCTAAAGAAAGACCTGCTATAGGCAGATTTAGCTCTTGCATAGTGTATGTTTAAAGGAAGGAGGGTTGGGTGACCGAATGGTTAACGTGTATACGTGTATGAACATAAGGTCTGTCACTGAGTCAAGTGGTGTGGTTTCGATTTCCTGCTTGTACGTGACAAGGAATAGGGACTAGGAAGGTTAGGATGGCCTAGTGGTCCAGAGTGTAGTGCTTCAAGTTCAAGCTGGCCAGTCACCGCTGGTGTGAGCTTATGTGGCTTCGAGATAGGGGGTGCCTTCTCAACCTCGTGGGTTTACTCCGGTTTCCTCCCACAGGACAGCCCCTGCGCATGCGCTAAGATAATATGACAACTTGTCTACAGTGTCACGCTTGGTGGAAGCGGACATTAATCACTAATAGATGAAGATATGGACTACAAGAACAACACAAATCAAAACAAAACAATGTCAAGCCTGGAAATAAGGCACCTGTCACAGACAATGTCAGGCACAGATTCAGGCTTTGTCAGGCACTAAAGCTCTTGTGCCTGTCATTCTGTCTGACACTGATTTGTCTTTTTTATTGATATTATTAATACATGTCCTGCACTAAGTTGAAAATGTCAGGTACTATTTCATTAGTGCCTGACATTTTGTCAGGTACATCTAAAACCGTTATTTCCAGCCCTGACAATGTACAAAGCACCAACACCAAAGAGTGAACTGAAACCTTTTTAACTGCTGAAATGTACTTTAGTACATCCAGGCCCTTTCACAGATGAACATGTACTTCAGTACTGGGGGTTGGATGGCCGAATGATTAGCACGCGCACGCTGTATCATAAGGTCTGGCGTGGTTTCAATTCCTCAGTTGTATGTGGCAAGGAGTAGGATCGCTTGTCCCGCCTCGTAGGGTTTCTCCAGGTCCTCCGGTTTCCTCCACTGCTAAAGACCCCTACACGCAAGCAAATTATTGAAATAAAATGGAACCATGTGTTAGTCCCGAAATGACCTAGTTTGTGTTGAGCGGACATTAAACCCCATCTCTCTCTAGTACATGTACATGTATATTCATCCCCTCTCACAGATGAACATGTAAGAAACAGCTCAAATTTCTAGGTCCGTCAGACTTACCGCTTGATTTTACCTAGAGATTTATTGAAATACCATGTATTTAAAATATTTTATTTTTTTATTTTTAAATGTAGGCATATGTATTATTTCTTTTATTTGTGCCACAAATGAAATGAATGTTGGTATTCTTTATTTTTTAAAAACGTTGACAGAAGGTAGATTTATTATAATGAAATACTATACCACAGCCTTAAACCCTAGATAATAAAAAATATTCCCTCTAAAACCTCTCTAATACACCACAGTTTTATTTCATTCATCGGTTGACTATAAGTGGGCATTACGTGTGTATTGACTGTTCGTATACCATGGTTTGATAACATCAAAGGGTTTATTCATGTGTTATATCCCCTTGTGTACTTATATTTAACCAAATATTATACAGAGATCAAACTGTTTATCAACTGGTTGTTTGATTTATAAAATCCATATTTATATATTTACTAGTTTAATGTATAGAGGAAAAAAAGTGAGACATTGGAATTTACCAAATATATAAGTCTCTAATAATCTGTTCAGTTTGTACACTGGCTTTTGTACGAGGTGTAGAGTTTTTGTAATTTTGCTGAGCCGCATTTAGCAGTTGCTATGCATAATAAAAACACAATAACGTAATACAAATTAAATCCACATTTCCTGAAAATAATAGTTGTGTACTATATATACTTTTAAATTATATTATATTATATACTTTTAAATAATAAGTGTCTTTTCTTTGATAAAAATACATCATTTTGATATACACCTGAACTCTCTAGCTTGTTGTGCCTTTAGGAATGGAATAACCACTAAAGTATTTTGTATTAGATTAGCAGATGCTTAAAGATACATTATGTAAGATTTAGATAAAGAGCTAGTTGTTCTGGTTATAATAATTCAAAAATAGATAATGAAATATATATATTGAAAATTTCATTCAAATTACTTTATTCTCGGCAAAGTTATGACTGTTTGAAGAAGTATCGTAGATTGTTTATTATCATAGCAACGGTATTTGACAACCAAGACGTAGGCTTGATTATCCTTTATCTTTAAATCCATTTAAATCCAGCCATCTGATGAACTAGAGAGTGGATTATAGGCTTGTCATGTGATTAAATGCATAAATAATAGTTTATATAACATTTGAAGCCAAAATAAAGAACTGCAATAGGCAGATTTAGCGCTTACATAAGGCATCTTTAAGTAAAGGCAACCAGATTTGTATTAAATTAAATACAAGTGAATTGTACCAAAAAAAATAATGGGTGACCCTTTTCTAAAGTATCTAAAGATGTTATTTTTTGTTGCTCTTTGATTCATAAAGTTTTTGCTGTGTGTTTTATAATTGGTTTTCTTTTGTATACAAATACCAGGGCTCGACCCACTATTTAAACCGAAACAACCCAAATAATTTACACATTTTTTTTATAAATAATATACCCATATATATAAACACAAAATGTAGCAATATTGATATTTTATCAAC